TGTTCATAAGAGGGTCCAAGCACACATCCTACCAGATAGCTAAGCATCAAATCTGGACCAGTTTTATAAGTAGGCTCCTGCGTAGATTGGTCCTGCTCCTACCGACATCTGTGAAAAACTTCCAGGAACCCAGGTAGGAGGGTCCCCAACTTCGCCCTCTTCTCCAAGAATGGAGAAAACTCAACACTCCGAAGGAAAATTTTCTGTCCACCATCCCAGACTGGGAACTGGGTGTGGTAAGGACTCCCTAGCTCCATTATAAACAGTAGGGGACATATGTGTGGTGGGGAGGCCTCAGTAACAGGTTTCTGGAGACAATGCAATAGGTGAATCACGTTCCCTAAGTTTTAAAAGCAAACCGATCTCGACTGATTCAGCTCTAAGATCATCAGGGACTGGCAAAATCCCCTTTAGCTTTACTCATGATAGTCCATGAGTAGCGGTCCATTGGATTTCTATTGTGAGATAATACTATCATCCAGAATTGTGTCTAGATGGTCTTATGGAACACCTCATCTTGAAAGAGCCTGTTGCAACCATGAACTGATATAAAGGTTGCTAGTGTGGAATTGAAAAAAATACAAGCACACCTGACTGGGCAACATTCGCCACCGAGTGGAATCCAAAGAAGATAAACAGGGACCCTAGAAGAAAAATAAAAACTGTTAATCAAGTAAAAAAATGTTACACAGCTTCTTGTTAAAAATCTTGCAGAGTTAGTCAACATAGCCATGGGGTGGGTGGGGGGGGGGCAAAATTTCCCAGAAGAGGAAACTGCTAGATCATGATAGTAATGAGATGGGAAAGTGTTGGGAGAAGTCCACATACTGGCCTGCAAAATATTATCCAGAGAAAAGTTCAGCCGAGTGGACAATGACATTGTTAATTGGCGAATCTGGTGAGAAGTGGAGTATATTTCGATCTACAACAGATAATTCCGATTAGGCTAGAGGAGTTGAAATCTCTAATGTTCTTGGTCACCAGAAAAAGACGAGAATAGAATCCTGGATGAACGGGGGTTGACCTTCTGAACGGGTAGACACTGACATTACTGGCACTATCCCGACCTTCCGAAGATCCCCGAGAATATGGATGGAACCAATTCTGTAAATCAATAGGACGAAGTGTCAAAGGTGGAGGCTGCGAGATGCGAATGATCAATCGTTCAGAACTACCCACTGGAGTAGAAGAGAGGTGAGTAGCTAATGGCAATAAAGAAAACTGCAAACATGCCATAAACTAGTAAAGCCGAAAAAGGGGCATCTCCCGGAAATCACAAAGAGGAGTAATCACAATACAGACTTAAATTAATCCAAAAAATGGGGATTTGGTAAGAGGAATAACAGATTCTAACTGATTAGAAATGCTTGAATTTTCCTTATTCTATCATTTTCAAGCATGCCATCTATGGTACTCTTTCTTGCAGGCATTATGTGTTAGGTCAACAGATCCTGGTCTATTTGAAAACATTTTTACAAGGTCAGACAAACAAACTCACATAGAAGCAAGTTTATTTAAAAAAGATTACGCATAAATAACTTTATTTAATAAAACTACAAATAAGGTAAACAATAAAGTAATATTCCTACTAATAGTGTACAGAGTATGAAAAAGTTATGAGCATTCAGTTTATAACTCATAAAGAGTTGAAACAAAGAAATACAAAAATGAATTATAAAACCTGTAGTAAAGAAAAATAGCTAAAAGGTGTTTATAACACTCTAAGATGAACTGAAGCTAAATTATTGCAAAGTAAAGTAAATGTAAAGTTGTAATGAATGAAAACTTAGCTGTATATGCAGAATGTCTGAATACATGTTCACAAAGTGAGAAGCATATGGTTTGAATTAACAGCACGTGTATTTTAAGTTTAAATAAGTCAAGAAAGCCCATAGAAATTGTATTTAGTATAATGTTAATTTTTTAAGATACTACATGTTGTTTGTGTGAAATACTTTGCAAATAAAAACTAAAGTTGAAATTGAGGCCACTTGTCATATGATGACAATGACATTGTGCCATCATGTAGCATACTCATTCCATTGAAAAGTTTGATTAGGCAAAAAACAGCTAAGATAATTCTGAATGGAAAAGCAAATATACAATTTGGACTCCTTGCACAAAGGCCTTTCTAATGATATGAGATTTGTGGTGTTTGATCGAGAAATTTGTAAGAAAAGTTTGGGACAAACAAACATAAGCACATTATTTATATAGATATTCACTTCATATTTAGATTCATTGGTTTTTTTAAATAAATTACAAAAGAACACTCAAAAACTAACCATGTTTATATTGCATTTGTTTGTTTTAGAGGAAACCCAAATTGGATTATTTGCTGTGTCCATCATAGGGAATCAAACCCCAGATATAAGAGCTGTAAGTCTGTAAACTTAATGCTGTCTCACCAGGGGGAGGTTTAGATTGTAATAATATATTATACTAGCAAATGTACCCAGATTTCCTAGGGTTATTAGGTTGGTGTATTCTAGATTACTATGTCAGTGTATGTATTCTGAACCCACTTTATGATAAAACTATAACCTATATACTTTTGTTGTTCCTTTATGAGATGTGGCCTGTTTATAAAGGTAACCTTCCCTCTAATTTTAAATTAAAAAGATGTGCATGCATGTAGATAAGTAATAATACCCAGGTGCAAAATTCAGATTTCTATGTTCATTTCTCTTGGGGCTATGGAAGTTACACATACACAGACACACACATGCATGTCTGTCTGTTTGTGATTTCTATTTGTAATATAAAGAACCACTTCTTTCTATGTAATTTTTCACTAGCTTGCCTCATTAAAAAAATGTGCATGCACATAGATAAGTAATAATACCCAGGTGCAGACCCTCAGGATCCACTTATTATGGGTGCAAGATTTCAGGTTTCTAGGTTCTTTCCTGTTGGCGTCATGGCGGTCACACACATACACCCTTATATTATTATAGATTTATACCATATAATGAGCATTAATGTTGCATAGCAGTATATGTTGCAGGATGGTAACATATTATGTAAGTTTTGTTTTAATGTATAAAATATATATAGCTTAATTGAACAAATACAATTACGTTTCAACTAACATTAAAACTTATAGATAACTTACTAAAAAAAATTTCTTTGATGTAAAAATTTAAAACAATATATAAAATTTGTTAAAAATTATATTTTATAAAATATTGTTTGAAAATCAAGTGCTAATTTCTTAACACAATACACCCAATTTATGACAATTAAATAATGCACCATTAGTGAAAACACTAGATTATGCTCAACTATTGCACATGCACATGTTTAACACTACAGTAAACATCATAAAATCTAAGTTAGGGTAAGGGAATTTTTAAAGTTATTTCATCAAACAAAAACTTCAATAGGCTTATATTCTAATATATGAGAGTTCACTTGGTTCTAAAGTGCAATAGAAACATTTTACATTGTTGAGCCTTATTCAGCTATATTTATACTAAGATGGTTTATAGTTTGTTTTTTTTTAAGTAATTTTAATCGGGAATTTACACATGCATGTAGGATATAACTTAAAAGTAAAATTGCTGTTAAATTTAACATGCAAATATTTCTTGAGTGGTGAAGAGAAAACACATATCATCTTGAACAAAATTTTACAAATAATTAGAAACTCACTTGCCCACACTGTCTCTACCACCAAAAACAAATATTTTCTCATCCATAACAATTATTCCATGATGAGCACGAGGAATGTGCATGTCAGCTCTTCTTCTCCAACGCTTAGTTGAAATATCCATTTGAAAAGTACTAACTGTAGCCTGCATCTTGCCATCAACACACTCCAAGGGATTGTAGCCTCCTAGAACATGGAACAAAAAATTCCATTTTTTAAATACCAGAGCTCTAAGAAACACAAGTTTTTTTTATTTTAATATCCATAAAAATAACATGTAAATAAAACATAACTAAAAACCTATGAAATTCATGAGCTATTTACATAAAACTTAAATTGCTTCCAATTTTCTTATGAAACAACTTTCATATAAGAATCTTTCTTGTTGATTATCACAACACCAAAATGGAAAACAGAAGAAGAAAGGTTCTTGTATTTGTAACATACCACATATTTAAGATACAATTGTAAAAATGTTCAGAACATCTTAATGGACTCTGACTTGGGTTTTTAACATGAAACTTATGTTAATTCATTTGTCTTAAATTTTCAGTTTGGCCAATGTAACATTCACAACATACTTTATATTTTAACATATAGATACAGTTCTTCGAATTGCCAAAAAAGTGAAGATCTTTTTGATTTTTTTATCTATGTTTTTTAATAATATTGGTATTAATAATATAACCTAGATTACAGACTTGGTATTGTAGGTTTTTACATTGAGTGACACCTTCTTGTCTATTTTAATTTTCATATTTATAACAAAGCAAATAGTTCAAATTTTTTGGCTGTCTATAAGTTCCAATAATACTGGTATTACTTATGGCAATGAATGTACAAGAATTGATCAAATTTTTACAACCCTTGATTTTAACTTTTAATCCTGGGGTATAAGTAGTGACAACTGGTAAAATTTCTGTCTTATTAATAGCTTTTGGTCCATATAATTTGGGATAAAATATAAAATTGTCAATTAGGCCCTATGGATAATTTCTATTTAAGAAAAACATTTTTAATTCATTCAATCTAATATTTCTCTTTACTTTAATTTTAATAATCTATTATTTCTTTTGACATGTCCAGGGTGGTTACTTCTAAAATCTAAATAAGCATGGAAATTTGTCAGTTTATTACAAATATCAGTTTCTAAGATGTCATTGTCAGATATTTCAATCACTGTATCTAAATAATGTATAGATTTATAAGACTTTATGACAGTGAATTTAACAGTTCGACCCAGATTATTTAAAACTTGACTAAAAATTAAACCAGTTTAAATCTTCATTCCAAATAATAAAACAATCACAAATGTATCTGAGCCAATGCAACATCACATAAGAGCTAAAACATTTAAATTCAATATTTTTTTTTAATATAAACTTATAGTAACACCGTATTACATGCATAAACCTAGCATAAAATGTGTTCAGCATTTTAGAGCTATTCTCAATACTTTATATTTGGTACCCACACATAAAGATAAAACATACAAAAGTTATAATTTTCCTCTCCTGAAAATGTATTTCCGCTAATTACTTACCTCTTGTAACATAAATAGCTATCCGTGTTCAGTGCTGCCCTCTATATGCAAAATTTTTTTGCATGCCACAGGCCTTTAACTCTCATGTACCCCAAAGTCAGCGTGGTTTGAATGTGTCTCACATGCAAATTATCATGCGACAACCCTCCACCAATAGGAGTGTTATACACCCTCCTGATGCATGCAACTCCCTCAATTTGATTCTACTGAGCTATCACTTCAAAGTTTTGGCAGAAAATGGATGCACTGATTTTCAGTGAGAAGGAAGGGTGTGAAGTGTGAAAGGAGGTAAGTACCTATCAAACATACATTTTCTGTATAGGAAAACTATAACTTCTGATACGGTACATTACCTCTACTCACATAAATAGCTAGAATCCTACACTGAATAGGTGGAGGGACTGGTGTGAGAGAAAGAAAGAAGCAACCTTTGAAAACATTCGTAGGTCACTCCCAAAGAGGAGATCCTCATAGTAGAGGATAATATGTAGAAGACCACACCACTTCTGTACCAAATATACTCTTCGGCCAGTGTGGAAAGAGATGTCGCAGACATGGAAGGGAATTGGGAGGAGCAATCCAAATGGGAGAGAACAAGGATTGGATAGGGATCTGAATCATGCAATATTGGAATCTCAATTCCATAGAGTACATCACTGTGGGTGAAAGTGGCTAGGGCTTGATGGACCATACATGGCAAGTTGACTGCATCCAAAACCCAGCCGCCAGGAACCAACATCCACATGGGGGTAGAATGAGGATCATACTGTCAGTAAGCCAACTACAATCCAAAATCGAGACATCCACATGGGGGTAGAAAAGGAGATCATATTGCCAGCAGGTGAACTAAAATCCAAAACCCAGCCACCAGGAACCAACATCCTTTTGGGGGTAGGAAAGAAGATCATACCAAAATTGAGGCACGATAAAGGTCAACTCATATTATGATCAATCTTCCAACACCTCAAAGGTGATAATTCCTCAGTCAAGTACTGCCACCTAAAGCCTAGGTAGTTGTGCTGGAAATAAATGAAAACATAAACTTTAGTAAAATAAAAAAAGTGAAGAGCAATAAAGGTAAGTTATCATTTAAATCAGGTAAAGTGAAGTAGAAAAATATAGAAAATATCTCCACTTTATGCGATATTAAAAAAAAACGGGAAGAGAGCACAAACAAAAAACATCTTGATGGTAGCACTGCCAAACAAGAAGCAATAGTTAGGTAGAGTCAAATAGAGGGAATTACATGCATCAAGGGAGTGTGTTGCACTTCTATTAGTTGAGGGTTGTTGCATGATGATTAACATGCGAGACACAGTTGAACCATGTTGATCTTGGGGTACATAGGAGCTCAAAGCCTGTGGCATACAAAAGTAATTTTGCATATAGAGGGCAGCAATGAACGAGAATAGCTATATAAGTGAGCATCAGTAATGTACCATATTGGGAAATGTCTGAAAGGTTTGCATGATCACTGAACAATACAACTATAATATCAAATAACATTAATATGAAGACAGAATTAAAACTTTGAAAATTTCATAAATCTAATGCCTACAACAACTTAGTGCGTACTGATCTATATATTTTCAATTTTTGTATATACATGAACAGTGTAAGAAATGAAATTAATATATTTTGAGAACTGAACAAAAAAAATTGTCACAAAAAATTTTAAGTTTTTTACTCATCAATGATAAAATTTTTCATTGAAAGTGACCTGGGTAGTAAGGGTCTTTTAATGATCTATATCGACCTATATAAGTGCATAAATATTTCTTAGAATGCACTACATTTTACTCATCAGTGTTATATACTTATATAAAAGGTAATTATATGCAAACTTATTTTTAAGTGCTACTGAAAATAAATACATAAATGCTAATTTGTTCACTTTTTTTTCCTCTCTCATATCTTGCAAAAAAGTACTAGCACAGTTCAGAACTTACTAAGGAATCACAAAAATAATTTCAAACAAGTAGGTAATTTTTCTAAAAATACATTTCTTTAACTTTCTATAGAAGATCATTTTTCTAAAAATACATTTCATTAACTTTATTCTATGAATAAAACATATTGGACTTCATTGTGGTAACAAAGAATGTGTTTATACGTACTTAACTTCATATAAAATAAGTTGTACTTTAAATAGTTTGTACATACCAATTATAAAGAGTTTTCCTTGAAAAAAGCAAGTAGCATGATAATTGCGAGGTTCCATCATGATTCCAAAATACTGCCACTTATTTTTCAGTAGATTAAACACAAACATAGCAGCAGCTGAAAAGTGAAAGAATATATCCAATAACTTCAATACTAACTGCGTAGTATTCTCAGGTTAAACTGATTTTCAAAAAGAATGTTAATGAGGTAAGTCCATGTTTTAACCCTCTCAATACAGACTCAATCAATTTGACCGACCACATGACCTCTTTCTACTCAATTAAAGTCTTTATAGATTTAATACTTATAAATTTCAATATAGTGTGTATATTTTTAAAATACTTAGCAGTCTTTCAGTTCATATTATAAGTATTTCACTTACAAATAAATCATATTTTTAATGAGTATTTTTATAAAATAAAATAAAGATTTGTCTATTAATATATTGAGTATTTGTTTTGAATAGTCCATGTGCAAAGTAATATTCATGTTAAAACTAAAAATACTTTTCCTCATCTCAAAATCTTAAATTTTCTTTGTGTAATCCCTAGAACCTACTAAATGCATTTCAAACGTTTTTCTTCAGTAAAACTTTATAGTTTATCTGTTATTTTCTCTACCCTATATCAAAACGGGATTGGGCAATTTGACCAACCTCGTAACAACCAAAAAAAAAAAATCAAAATAAACCTAATTAACCTTTTTTTTCTAAAATGACTTCAAATTATAACATGAAACCACATTCGTTTATCCCAAGTATCTCTAAGTTCGCAACAATATACATCTATTTATAATTAAATCTTATTGTTTTATTGCCCTTTGAACCATGTCTAACTACTATCCATGCCATTATAAGTTGTAAATCACTCAAGGAACATGCAGTTCTGCTTATGCTATTCAATTACATTACCCACGAGCTGCTTGTGCGCATGCTTCGTGAACAATTTTAATTATATTATTATTATTACATATTTTACATAATCTAGTCTTAAATAACTTAAAAAGATCCACATTTTTAGATTTTAGTTACTTTTATAATAAGAAATAAAGAATAAATATGAAAAACAAGAAATAAAGTACTTATCCAATCTTCTGTTTTCTTGCTCTCAATTGTCAATGACAGTTAAACCTAGTTTTTCATAGTACAAATAGTAATGCACATAATAATTTTTATTTGATTAAACAATGCACCAAAGAATATAGACTAATAACATACAAAAGGTAGACAAATTCTCTGACCTCTCAAAATTTTTCTCGCTTTCTAACTATGCAACAAGAGGCGTTACTAATTCATCCAAGCATGTCGTTAGCTTTCCCACAGGAACGATTTTGTTACTCTGAATTAAATTCACATTTTTCCATTCAGAACTCAATGTTATACAATATGTCATTTGATAGATGAAAATCTTGACTTTCTATTGGTTATAGGCAATATATAATGAAACGTAAGAGAGAATTGTTTTTTCTGTTGTTTTTTTTTGGATTTCTCGCAAAGCTACACGGAGCTGTCTGCGCTAGCCATCCCTAATTTAGCAGTGTAAGACTAGAAGGAAGGTAGCTAGTCAGCCCCACACACACCGCCAACTCTTGGACTACTCTTTTACCAACAAATAATGGGATTGACCATTACATTATAACACCCCCCATGGCTGAAAGGGTGAGCAAGTCGAGTGCCCTAACCACCTGGCCATGCCGGGCCCTGTAAGAGAGAACTATCAATGAATTGTGAAAGAGAGGATGTGACAGGTGGGTGTGGCAGGAGGGGTCTGATTTTCTATTTGATAGCTCTGTAACCCAAAAAAAATTGAAGACTATAAAAATTATGGTTTATCTGAGCAATAATGATTTTATAGAGAGTAATTTATGTTTAATTTCGTATTTTTTCAAAGAATGGTGGATAAAACTGGGATGATAACACACTAAGGCAAAATGTGTCACTGGAAATTCAGGATTTTTTTAAATATTCCCTTGTAGAACTAAGAACTTAAAACTTGTATACTATTAAAATATGGATTATTAGCTAAGATTTTATGCTATTCTAATAATAGCATAAAAATATAAAGTAGTATGATAAAATTTTGAATGTAAGACACTAATACCTTGTGTCATGCACAGTAAAGGATACCCAGGGCAATAGGGTTAATGATTTTCAGGGCAACATGTTATATGAAAACTGCATAAATTCAGAATAAATGAAAAATTTTGAAAATTTTACAGTACAATAAGATAGCCTCCAAAAACATAAACATAAAATAAACTTGCTAAATATAACAAAAAATGGTCAGGTTAAGGACACAATGAAATAACCCTTGTCAAAGAATTACAAAACTAAACAGAACATAAAGAGAAAGTGCAGTTAACATTACATATATAATCAGTTAATGCATCTACTTTCCCTCCCGGTCAATCTTCCATAGTCATAAATGGATAAAGCTTGTGGTAATAGCACCCAAAAAGCAGTGGGGATATCTCTTCTATCAAACAAACTCCAAACTTAAAGAAGTTGCCCATTATGGAAACAAGGGTGATGAGGTGAGTGCTTACACCCACAATTTCTTACTTCCTACTGCCTTTCATTGTGTGTAGCCAGATGTTAGCCTTAAAGTTATTTAAGTTTTAAAAGTAGAAACAGAACCACCCAATCACTCTTATAAAGGTCTTAAAACAAAAATGAAAAAGAAAGTAAGTAACTTATATATTACACACACAAACACACAATACTTAAGTAAATTAAAACAGAAAATACAAAATATATCCTCAATCATAGTCAGCACAAGGTTTGTGCACTATCTCACTCAAACCCTTCCAACAGATTCTCCCATGCCACACTCATCATATTTTTGAAGTTATTGGTAGTTCTTAAATCATCACTGGCTTTGACTAGGAACCCCTTAGTATCAGCCAAAAAGTCTGCAGGGGGCATACCTTTCCTTTGAACTGTGACAGAGGTATTAACTTTCTTGTAGCTGATCTTCTTTTCTGTTATAGAGATCCTAAGACTCAGTCCAACTGACAAACATCTCCTGGCATTCTCTCTTTTACACTGGTATCTGCTCTAGCATGGGATGGAGTGTTAACACCTTAGGTAGTTTTGTCAAGAACTCAGTTCTCATTTGGCTTGGTTATGGGACTTTGATGGTGGTGCCTCAATGATGCTCTTTGATGCCTACTGTCTACCTTCTGCTGGGTGATGTCATCCACCAATGGCAGTCCAGTGTTAAGTGGCTTTGACCAAAGCTGAGATTCGGTTTCTCAGACTACCATAAGTCTGAAAGTCCAATACAGATTGCCCCCACTCAGTCTCAGACTTGCTAGATGCCACACCACAACCATTATGTGTGAATTGGACACTGGCAGCTCTTCTTCCTGAGTCATCCCTTCAGTAACTGACTCTCTCTCTCTTTCTTGGTCATAAATCCTTCTAGTTGTGGAAAATGCCAATTCTTTCACTAAGAAGCTTTTTAACCTTAAAGCAAAAGAGTTCAAGTAAAAGGTAGTACACAGCAGAAATAGCAAACTCTGCAATATGATATCCTATGGTCAAAATACCTATTATGAAGTAATGCTATACCTCTAAAGTGATGATAACAAGTGAAGTAAAGAGACTGGACATAAAGTAAAACATGAAATTAACAATCTTGATTGCTTTAACACTTAACAAAAACACAATTTGTGTAATTGCTTTACTGATACAGGACGATCTTTTACTACATATTCTCATTCATACATAGGTGAGGCCATATAACCTCAAAATACCACTTGAAGTACCAATGAAGAACACTACTGTCTACATCCCTGTACAATGTGTAGTACTGCAGCAATACCCTTCTTCAGGCAAAAAAGGTATTAGCTACTCAAGAATAACAAAGTAATAAAATCAGCTAAAATCAATTCAAATTAACAGCTTTCAAATAAAGCTAAAGATGCATGCCATATTCATATACCACAGGACTTCAAGAGGCATAATCACTCAAAAGTTATAATTTTCCTATACTGAAAATGTATTTCCGATAGGTACTTACCTCACATAATCTAACATTTCATTTTAAATCTTATATTTTGCTTTTCTCTTCCAGAGCAGTTTCTTGATGGAGTCTTCAGAAGCAGAGATTGCAGCATGTAAATCATGTCAAGTTAAACAAGAGGGAATCCTCGATAGCTGTGACACTTGAAATTCTTTTAAGCAGGATTAGAGGAAATTAATCTATGAGACCTTTTTTTCTTTTTTACAAGCTACATTTTTTGTGCACCAGCAATACCAAACATATGGCACATGCATACCTGATTAAATTTTATTACTCATCAGGATCTCTACCAGCCTACTCTCAAATTGAAATTCTTTTAGGCAGGATTAGAGTAAATTAATCTACGAAACTTTGGGTGTGGTCAAATACATCAATTGAAAGGGTTTGATCTCTTGGGTTCAAAACTGTAATTAGATCACAAATCAGTAAAGAGTTAGAGTTATGAGCTAAAAGTTTATACTTGTAAAATAAAATAAAAACTCAATAGCCATTCTGTGTGCCACTAAGGCGTGGCTAAAAATTCAGAATCTTACACTGTAAACTCTTTACTTTCACATTGTATAAACCTATTTTTAAGGAGGAAGATGCCATTAACTCTTTCAAATTGTGAATAAAGCAGTTATTAGTAGGATGCACAAAATAAATTGATTGTGAACATATGATCAATATTTTGGTCTGGAAACTTAATTGCCAGGTGTTATGTATGGGCTATATTCTCTACAGTAGGTGTCTTTGACTTGGTGGTGGTAAAATACAACAATAAACACACAGCACACAGTCCACTTGTATTAAAATAATATATTAAGATAAGTCAAATGTGTATACAAATGTTTGTTATGCTGTTGGTTATCACAGTTGTATCCAGAGCTTTAAATAATTCTCTTTTTCAAGTTCCACATGGCTGGATCAGTTACTTTATAACACAATTTTACAAGACAAATTATTCTTCTCTACTCTGTTATTACAATACAATCTGTGATAATTTCACATTAAAACTGCCACTATACGCTCTTTATGGCTAAACTCACAATCACGCAGTCTAGAACTAACTAACCAGACCTACATTTTCGATGCGTGTTTATAGCCCAACAGAAGTCTAGAATGTTCCACACATAGGAGATATTATGATGCAATAATATTCAATTAAAACAATGAGAAAACTTAGAAGGTTCTAGTAACATGGCACAATCATACAATTGCCAATTTACAAGAATTGAACTTCACAACGCATTATTTGAAAACAGTGATTTAAACAAACTTTCAATAAACTATCACTTCTAAAATTAAGTAAATTTAACACTTGCACTGTACTTAAATGGAAACAGTCGTGTATATCTAACATTAATATATAGGATAATTCTGTCAAAATTAGTAATATGTATTTTCTTGACCAAGGCTCATCCTTTTAGCACAAATCTGACTTACAATGTGGGTGTTAATGTGTTGAAATTTATACAAAGAAAGGGGCATATTCTAGTACTCAGATACTACATATCAGATATTTATTCAAAAATGGAAAAGAAAACCACCATGCAACACAGCTTACACAATATAAAAGCAATACAGTTTATATTTAGGGATCACAGAAGCTAAATTTAAGGGTCAGGTCATTAAGAATTCCACCTACACGTGAATATACATATATACATATATATATATATACATATGCAAAACAGTCTCTATGTGAACTTTTAGGTGAATGCTTGAGCATTATAACATGATGGTTGACCTGCAAATTTATATTTAACAACAGTGATCTTTCTACTTTCAAAGGAGGAATTGATAGTGATTGTTCATCAGGCAGAAACCCCGTTATCAAGGTCCATGGTTGTGACTACCTGTTCAAAGACATTTGTCACCGAATTCTACTAGCAGTAAAGAACTAATTATAAGGAGGGTGAAAGAAAAACAAGATCTGCAGTCATTAGCATGATTTCAATAATTTTTGTTAGAACCAAAAATATTCATTGCTTTGTCAACTTAAGCATTTTACACAATGCAAAAAGTTTCTTGTATTATATGCAAATAACATTTCAAATACACAAATAAGTCAAATCCAGCTAAATTTCTAGCGCTGAGCAAAAACTATCTGGGTTAGTAACCTGCAAATTTAAAAATCATTTGTACACAACTCTTGATATGAAAATATATGGGCTATAATTAAAAGAAATATGGGGAAAATATCTGCTGTCAAACATGAATTTGACCACTTCTGTATCTATAAATTTAAGCTTTTTTGCTTTGACAGATTAGGCAATTTACCTCACCCACTGCACTAACATTCTTGTACTGCATACAGATCATTTCAAATATTATTTGGCTGCAATTATATCAAGCTCAGCTGATGGGCTGCTGTTGAATAATAATCTGAAATCTGTATATGATTAACTAAGATGATTGTGATAAAAAACACAGTTGCAGTGAGCTAACTACGATTTTTAGCAACATTTACCAAGCACAGATTAGCATCACTTCCTTGGATGTTAAAACAATAATACCTGTAATGTTTTTACATTATATGAAAAATTGGTGCACATATATTTTAAATTTTGATTTAACGTAGCCATATCTCAAGAGCTTTCATAATCAGATTATACACATATAATGTGGTAGCTATGATATAATGCTCATATCCTTAGCTACTTACCATTCAAATATTCGGTAGGATATGAGGGATTTATGCCACCTGCAACCAGAACACATGGACCTGGATCTTTTTGTATGTATGTTTCTAAAGGCATGTTTTGAGAGAATTGGGACAAGTCCTTCCATTTTTGAGTTAATTCTTTTCTGTAACAAAATATAACAATACAAAAATGCCCTTTATACCACGGATTCTTATTTTAATTAGTTTAGAATTTATGTAACCATAAATTTTATATTTTACATAACTCATAAGAATGGCATATTCTATTCAGATCACAAATGAGTTACAATTGATCATGATTGTCATATAGCATATCTTTATTATTTTTAACATGAACTGAAACAAAATTAGTTCATCCAGAATATTTTATTAACTTAAGAAAATAGAACGACAACTGATTAGGGCACTTGTTCACAAGTTCGAGGATCAGTTTTTCTCATGACATAGGATAAACTGCTTAAACTTTTTATCATTATCCTTTTTTACTGGGAAGCAGTATACAAACCTGTCTGTTGGTGGTCTACATCATATTTGTTTATCATTTTCAAAACATATATATACACTTTAAGAAGTTGTAGACGATATGCTCAACAAATGTAAAAAAAAAAAAAATTATGATTCTTATAACTGGCACCCTTAGTCATCAAAGTGAGTTAGTTATATCATGTTGCATACTTTTCTTGAAGTACACAGTAAAACCATTACCTCATCTTTTTGATGTTTGCCTATCCAAAATAAAAAAAAAAAAACTGTGAAGCAGCTGATTTTAACCTACAGTGTACTGACTTATACCCATAAAAATAGGATACACTAAATACATTGAGAATCAGGTTTTATTCAGGAAAGTTTGGAAAAGGTACAGAATAATTCAAAATCTTTCACAGAGAATGTTAAATTTGTTTCCTGTCATTCTCAATCAGTAAATCAAACTTATCCCCAATTGAAGCTACTTCAAGCACCACGAGTTCTGGACAGTGTTTGTTGATCCTTAGAATATCCTGCATATTGATACATATGTCATTGAAATCATTGTATTTTTAAAATGAAAAGAAAGAAGAGAAAAAAAAAAAGTTTTGTAACATGTCCAAACTACTATGAATAAAACTTATGATCCGAAATATGCCTTTGGTGAATTTTTGTGTCCACCCCCACCCCCCTATGAGCACCATATGCAAGATACAATCATTTTAAATAAGAGATTTTAATTTGCTCTATGCATGTAATTGTTTGATACGTTTTTACAAGTAATAACTATGCAGTTTCAAATGGCAGGTCATCAACACACATACATGTATATATATATAAAGAATTATATTTTTATGGCTAATATTGTGATATTCCAAGAATTAACTAATCACACAGTTTACAAGTGGGCCTAACATGTGAAAGGACAGATGCTTAGTTAAAGTAAAATTAACACTTTACTAAAAACTATGAAACAGGAGACTGATGAAAGGCTGATCAGACTAATGGAAGACTGTTTAGTTTGAAGTTAGAATTAATAAATAAATTGTATTTAGAATGAAAAGCAAATGAACGAACTCCACATTTAAATAAAAGAAAACTAAAATGAGCTTTTCTTGGAATAAAGTGAATTAATATTGAATGATTAAAAAAGTAATGAGATGTCAGTAAGTCAGGCTTCAACATAGGGTGGTGACTGGTGAAAACCTACATTCCAGTTACATACCGATGTTTTCTCAAAATCATCAATGTATAGCCAAATGTAAAAGTTTCACACATACAATATCTAAAACAAAGTTCTTTCTGCTGCAGCAGCTTAGTCAGACTTCTAAAACATCCTATACATACAAAAAAAAAACCTTCCACTGACATGTTCACAACATGTAGTGATTTAATGCTGTTTTCCCCACAGGCTAAATATCTGCTTCTCAGATATCTTGAGAAACAACACTCCAAATAGTATTTTATCAGATTGGCAAAAGAAAATGAAAAATAAATGGAAAGAACTATTACAATATACCCGAAGAAGTCACCGTCGAAGAAGAAACTCTACTCAGTTTTGAGAAGGGAAACGGTGAAGCTCTTGATGAAGTTACTACCACTGATGTGACTGTTACTGATGAAAGGACAGTTACTGATGAAGCAGATGAATCCCACATGAAGCAGAAGCCAATGAGACGGAGACCAGTACGGAAGAAGATACGTCCCATAAAATTAAGACTTTGTTGAATTGTAATTTTGTGTTTGTAATTCTATACATTTAATTAAGTTATTGTTAATTGTTATTGGTTTATTGTATGTGGTTATTGTTCGGGACGAACAATACTATGGAGGGGGCAGTGTTGCATCAGCGAGGTCACGTGACTAGTGTCACGCCACGTTTCTAGAAATATCTTGTTCCTTTGTGAATGCCCTAGCATTTACTAGATATAGGGTAGTCTGGTATATATAAGATGGTCACAACGTGACGGGACAATGTGTGTAGACAGTGAGTAATTGATCTGCAGTCAGAGAGTATTATTGAAGTTGAGCACGTTCGTTGTTATAGCGTTTGTTTTAGCGCGACTGTTGAAATTAAGTGTATCATAAAGTTATATTCGGAAAGAATAAACCAGTTTTATTAAGTAAGGACTTGTGTCGCTAAAGTTTCGTCGGAACGAATTTACGGGAAATCAATTAACAAACGGAGACATAACAATATATTACTTATAACCAATAGAAAATGAAGGATTTATCTATCAAATTACATATTGTATAACATTAAGTTCTGAAAAGATAAGCATCATTTTCACTTATAATACATGGTTCATTTCCGTGGGAAAGTTAACAACTAGCTTGGGTGAATTTGTTGCATAGTTAGAAAACCAGACTAATTTTGACGGTTGGGGAAAATTGTCTAGTTTTTGCATGTCACTTGTCTATGTTCTTTGGTGCATTATTTAATTAAACAAAAATTATTCAGTGCATTACAACTATTAGTATAAAAAAGTAGGGTTAAGTGTTATTGAGAATCAACAGCAAGAAAAAAGAAGATTGGGTAAGTACTTTATTTCTTGTTTTTAATCTTTATTGTTTATTTATTATTATCAAAGTAACTAAAATGTCAAAATATGGATCTCTTTAGGTTGGTTATGGTTAGATTATGTAAAATAAACAATAATAATAATAATACAATAAAAATATTTCACAAGGCACACATGAGAGCAGCCCAGAGTAGCATAATGTGAGCTGCAAATATTAGTTAGACATGGTTCAAAGGACAATAAAACAATAAAATTTAATTATAAATAGGTGTATACTCTTACAAGTTTAAAGCTTGATATAAAGGAAATAAAATCATCAAAAAGAGGGGGGTGAAAAAAACTCGAAATTTTGAATATCCACCTCATGGACTAATGGTATAATCAAATATCGCAAATTCTCTATATTTTCAGTGCGTATATAGAACAATATTCTATGAACAGACTTGCTTTTTATTTCAGTCACAGTAATGATTATAGATGTTTTTCATAAATAGCAAAAATCAAAGAGTTCCACAGTAAATTAAAACACATGTTAAAGTTACATTCTAAAAACCTTATGAATGGTGTCAAGGGTGTGCTAGAAATACCAATTATTGTGAAAAGCTAGTCAGTCACAACATTCTAAGTTCTCTATCTATCACAATGCACTGTTTCTAACAGTCACAATCTAGTAAATAATATAAAATATAACTTTAATAAAGTATGGATCTCAACTCTCTCTAACATGTTGATTTCATAGCTGTACAAGCTACAAATTTCATAACTTTCTCAACTGTTGAAACTTTACCTTTCAAGAGTGACTGGGTGTTAAAATTCCCTTTGTGAGTGAGTCCAAATATATTAATTCCTTGAGTGGCATTTACTCTATTTTTGACTTTGTTTACAACCAGGAAAGGTTCAATGTTGCTCTCATACTCTTTTTTTTCTTTCACTGGATCAGGGTAGTTTCTGAAGATGCTATCATCATCATAATTTGCAACTTCAATATATTCACTTTATGCTTCCTGGTCAATTCAGTGTTTTTAAAGCTCATCATTGATAACCAAACTTTGTGCAACATTGAACCACAGGATCAAGTTGCTGTAGAACAAGATAATTTCTAGCCCAGCAGGATCTGAATAGTTTATGTGCTGATTGAGTATATCAGAGAAATACTCAGTCTCCTCATTCAAACCGATACCCTTTCATGTAATTCCATACATTCTTTTCTGTCTTAGTCACTTTCAAAGACCTTTCAATATGAGCTCACAAATTAAGACAACATGTAAAGTCTGAATAATTCACTCAGCCAAATCATCAAATTGAAGACAACAAAGTACAAGTTTTCACTACACTCATTACCTTACACAACTTGGCAACAGCTGACTGTTGAAGTTTGCTTCTTGATTGGTATGAATCTTGTCTGGTACTCTGAAGTAAGTTATCCACTAATCAGCTAATATGTCAATGATTATTTGAGCTAATGTATCAGCCAGTGCATATGACTTCAGCTCATTTAGTTAATTAATTGATTATTTCCAGGATATAACGACTACTGTGATCAGTTTCAAGAAGCAGTCTGGCAATATTCAGAGGTATTTTCTGAAATGGAGAATCAGCAAATTTTAGATTCTTCATTTCAGAAAATATCCCTGCAATTTGCTGATAGAAATGTTTTTGATGTGAATGGTTCTTTTTCTTAGTCACACAGCCTTGTAATGTTTTGCACTATCACTCTATATCTCTGAAGGATTGCTGTCAATAAAGCCAAAACTGCAGGCTGGCTGTGGTGTGAGAATCTCCCGATAATCTTTGATCCGTGTCCCATCTAACATTCATAAAATCTCAGATCTCAGACCTATTAAAATCATAGCTCCTTATAAGTCAGCCACTGCACTTTTATGGCCTATAGCAACAGTATAGCACACCCTCTTGAACATCTAAATTAATCAAAGAACTGCCAGAGGTTATGTGCTTTCATACCAAATTTACTGAGCTGTAACAGTCATGCTTTAACTCACTAGACAGCATGTAATGCCCAAGCTAAGTCTGTTTTCTATAATTGTGCCTCTCTTAACTTCTCCATTGTGTATGGTATACATTCATTAGCAGAATCCTTGTTATTTGCATTGTTTATCATCATGTATGAATCTTTATGATTTACTGCAACATTAGAT